GTTAATTATTTAAATTAATTTAATATATATTAAATATTTGATTAATTAAAAGTATATTCAACTATTTTAAATATTAATTTGGACAGAAGGTCTATTTATGTTGTTTAAAATCCCCAAAAATTTTTACATTTAAATATATATAAATATTAAATCGTTGAAAAGAAAAAGAAAACAAAGACACCACAAAAAAATGCAAAAAAATGCAAGCAACAGTCATTTATGTATCTTGAAACAAGATTAAAATTACAAAAGTGGGGAAACCACTAAACATTTACAATTTAATTGGTTAATATTTAATGAATTTATTCACTTTTATAATTTTCATCTCACTTCAAAGTACATAACTGATCCCAAGATACACAGTCAACCTCCAGCTCCAGGCCTATTAACATATGCATGTATGTGCACGCACATACACATATACATATATATATATATATATACATACATACATATACATGTTTATATAATAACATATTTCAAATATTACTAAGTTCATGTATGGTGCAATCTATTTTAATATACGATGGTAGTATATAATTTTTACAAGTGGAGTTTGCCAATGCATAAATTAGCGTCATTAAGATCCTAATTACTGACAACTTTCACTGGTAAACAACGTCGTTATCGTTGAGGAAAAATCGTTTACATTTCTATTTATTGTTCTTCATCCTAAATAAGTAAATTCACGGAACCGCGATCGTCGCCCCCAAGAAAGGTACCGTTGTAGTCCTAAGTGCGTTGCGTAAACCGTACCGCTTGGAGGTTATACTCGTCTTGCGATCGCGAGTCAAGACGAGGAGATAAGGCGGGATAGCCGGAGTGCATACTTGCTAGAGTACATAAATACGCGCACGACGGGCGCTTTTGTTTTTCCCTTTTGAGAGAAGTGCGTTGCATCGGATTTCAACATTCACCAGGCTTGCAACAACAAACGACATAACATCGCATGGCACAGGGCACAACGGGACTCGTAAAGTCTGAAGTTTAATCTGGACCGCCTGGACCTGAATTGAAACCCTACGTGCTCGTATACTGCATACAATAGACTACAGTTTGCTACAGTTCGCCACAATTCATCCTGTTCATCGCCGTTGTCATCAGCTGCAGGCAGTGCAGGCACCGTACTCACCCAACTCACCGTAGTAGATGTTTGGTCTGTTTTCTGTTTCTGCACAAGACTGTTCTAGAACTCTCTTTCTCACTTTAAATAAATATCAAACGTATTTCTGTCTCACTTTAAGTTCCAAAAGTGTACACTAGTTCAGCCACATGCTGGATTCACACTGCATCCGATGTACGTCATACAACGCTCTGCAACCAATCAGAAAACTGGATTCCGATGATACGAAGCAAAATTCATCGGAATCCTGTTTTCTGGGGCTCTATTCTTGAAAAGAAACGTATACGAAAGTCTAGGGAAATACTATAGTATACGTAACGTATACTGTAGCATTTCCCTAGAATTTCGTATATTTTCTTTTCAAGAATAGAGCCCCTGATCGGTTGCAGAGCATCGTACGACGCAAATCGGATGTAGTGTGAATCCAGCATTAGGGTGCCGTCACATGCGGCGTAACTTGCGTAAGCGTAAAGCCGTAATCACACTAGGAAGGATCCCGTTTGCCTACAGTTCTGATTGTACACACCACTCATATCAACTGGTGCCTAGTAATTTTTCTCTGTTTTGCCAATGAGATTATTTTATTTTTAAATTGGCCAATCAGCGATACATGTGTGCAATATGCGATGTGTGCAATCGGAGTCCTCCCATCACACTACAGACTCCCGACTCTGACTCGACTACTGACTCGGACTCCCGACTATCATTCTACCAATCACAGCAAGGCAGCAGCCGACTCTGACTGCCGACTCGAGAATAGAAATCAGGGTGCCGTCCCAAGGCCCGTCTACAATACACGGAGTAAGAAGTAAGAGTAAGAAATTGACCAATCACAGTCGAATGTGAGAAGAATAATCGACTG